CTGAACTGTGTTTTGTTTTCTTCAGTGACATGGGCTGATTCCGAACTAATTTTATTTTCAGGCTTTTGGTTCAGCTAGCAACACAGAAAAAAAAAATATTCCTTGCAGAGCTCTACCTTGAAAATCATTCCACCGCCTAAAAGAACCCCTTATAATTGAAATTATTTACACAAACATATGTTTGTGGTATTTTCACCAAGAAATTCTACTCTTGGGTAAAAATACACGTGTTTCAGGAAACCACATGAGCCTGGAAATGAAGACTGTTTCATGCAAACAGGGAAAAGGCTGTGACTGTAAAAACTGTAAAAGCACGCGTGCCTGTAACGAGGATGTAACATGAGTGTATTTTGCAGTTGCACTTGCACCATCACCAAAACGTCTATACATCAACTGGAGCAAAAATCAAAATCAAAGAGGTTTTGAAAAATCTGGCAGTACTTCGCAGTATTGATTACACCAGAAACTGTGGGTGAACGATCTTTGGCCTTCCTATAGTACTCAGTGTCTCCATGTTTTAATGCCAGCGATGAAAGCTTTTAAAGGCCTCTACCAAAAAAAAAAAAAAAAAAGGTTATTTATTAATTCTTACTATGGCTAGGCACAATCAGCAGCAAGCGAAAGGACTGCCCTCACATCTTTGCCACCACCGGCGCACCGTTGTGCAGGTTCTGGCGGGCCGGCCAGGAGCCCGCGGGCTCTGGAAGGCCTCCTTGGAGTCTACCTGCTGCAAAGAGGTTCAGGCAGGGCTCCACGCTCTCATTCCCACGGTATTTTTTAATTTTTAATTTCTCTTGAGCTCTTTATATAATTGAACTGACTTCTGCCTCCATGGGACTGACATTTTTTTCCCCTTTATACCATTCCATACGGGAAAACTGGAGGAGAAACCTTCTGGCATAGTAGGAAAATGTTCTTTTCCAAAGGATACTCCAGTGCATTCTGCACTGGGGCTTCCCCCAAATTCAGCTGTGCTGTTAAAGCACTTAGAGCATTCATATGGAGGAAGCTGACCCTAGCTGCACTGGAACAGAGTGGGAATGTAGCTGGTGGCCCACTTGAGATCTGGCAGCCCTGGAGATCACTCGGTCCCCAAAACAATCTAATGGGTCTTCTAGGAGACATCAACAAGGAAGAATGAAGCGGTCTGATGAGGAGAAGACAGAAGGGCTATGTGAACACATAAGGGTCACAAGCACTTGGGAAGATAAACAGATGGTCACAGAGAAACCAGAACATAAACACACCCACATCTTTGTGAACTCTACGTCCCAGGCAAATCGCCGAAAACCCACACAGCCTGGACAGTTTCTCCTTACACAGGCTCCACAGCGCGTTTGTCACTGTACTCGTTCCATCGGCACCGCGCTTGCAGCAGCACCCAGGTGGGAATCCTGGGACAGAATGCTAAGGAATATCACTAACACTTGCTCCCCACAAGCACCACTGCCTACAAATGCTGGAGATGGTGGACAGGCAGCTGGCACAGGTGAGCTACCTTTGGCTTTAGCTGTTCTCATGCTCTTAGGCACACAACACTTTCTAAAGGGTTTAGAATTTAAATCTTATGATCTAAGAGAGCATCACAGCCGAAGCAGGCGGCATGTGGCTGACCACGAGAGAAAGGCTGTTCCGTGAGATAGAGTCACAGATCTGCCGTGAGCATCTGTTTCTGGTTTGTCTTTGGAAGCTTTGACGCTTGAACAAATCAAGGCACGCAAGCCACAGCTGTACCTGCCCAAGGCCTCAGAAGGAGTGGCTGTTGGGCATCAAAGATGATGATAGTCTTGTACTGAGGCAAGGCACACTTGGTAAGAGTATCCCTGCAGCACAAGCCAGGGACTGAATGTATTGCCAGACTGGCCGCTTAAAACTGTTGGCAGTTACAGACCATATCTAAAAAGCTTTGTACTTTCTTTAAGAGTAGAAAAAACCAGATTTTTCAAAATGTGCTAATGAATTCCTGCTCATCGTTCAATCATAATCAGCTTTTAGATAAAAAGTCGGAGAGGGAGA